AATCCAGCAATACCGATTTAAAAACAAAAACAGTTCAAATTGATACCCAGCACGCGTTCAAATCCAATTTGTACTGAGTGCTTATTCTTTCCATCCCGTTGTAAAGCTGACGAGACGGAATGACGAATGGAAAAAGGAAAAGCGTCGTTTAAACGGCAACTAATGTGCTATTTGTATGAGAAGACCTGCTTTGAAATAAGCCAATACTTTCTGAGAGCTTGCAAATTCAGTCCACTCGCGTATACCAACACAAACTTATCCTTACCATCCTATTTCCACACTCATACACAATTTGAATCTTATCGCTTTGAACTATGAAATCAATCAATCAAATGGACTTGTGTTACAGCTGTATAATCATCTTGGTGGAACTCTGAAGGTGGCGCCAATCCCTAGTGAAGGATTGCGTGACTCCACCATATATTCTTGTAAGTGTAGAAATTGTACAGTGAAATGTTCTCTATGACAAATGTATCAAGCATTCTTGACTAAATAGATGTGACGGTACCAAAATGATTTCCGTGCTATAAAACGTCTTGATCCTTGCACATACATTGTGTTACTTTACATTTTTATTGGACATGGAAGAGGTGTGTCTATGGTTTCTATTAGGACGTGTACTGCTTTAACTAGATTGTAGAGTTATTGAATTTTAGAATTTATTCTACGAGGTATACGTGTGTGTAATGAACAGAATATGTAAGTTTTGTTTATCGATTGTTTTATGCACTGATGGTTTCGACGACCTCTGTGGTCCAGGGGATTGCACACCGGTTTTCATGGTATCGCCATTTCTGAGGTCCAGGTTACCCTCAGCCATGTCGATGTTGAAAAACGTTTCTATTATTGTCTAGGGTCTATGTGTTTGTGGTATCGTCAGAGTTTCCGATTACCATAATACAAGCACTTTAGTTTCTCACTTCGCGGTCAGAGCAACGTATGTGATGTAATCTAACATTTAAAAAAACTAAATATTTTGTTATAAAAAAAACCGCCCCCAAAAATTCGTGGTTCAAAAAGTAGTCAAAGTGCACGAAACCGGATTCATCACCTAGTTTGCCACACCTGGAGGTGGAATATTTTCGTCAAATCTAAAAGGGACCAATACTGAGGTACCCTCTTTCGAACAAAAAAAAGAATCGTCAAAATCGGTTCACTAATTGGCCGCCGAAATTATCGCGTAACATATAAAAAAACAGTCGAATTGAGAACCTACTCCTTTTTTAGAGTCGGTTAAAAATTGAGACGATTCTACAAAGGATTTTATTTTATTAAAAGGATATTGCACCGTTATACACCACTTAAGATTTAAAATCAACTTTATGCTGCTTACGATAAGAATCGTCCTAAGTGTCAAGCTTGAGGTGCTGTCGCTGTGTAATACCAAAAGAGGGACGACTAAATTAGTCAGACCAGAGTGATGTATCATTATGTTGACCTAAACATAGGTCACTCTCCTTTCAAGGTCCATAAAACACAATAAGGCATGCGCCACACGCACGACGTATTAGCGGTTTGGCGCGCGACTAGACGGCGGCGTCTGTTCGTATGCGCCCACCGCATCGGCAAATAGACCACCGATAGAGTTCCTGTTATGGTGCACAAATCACAACGATAGTTTATGCAAATCAGTTCCAGTAACTTTACTCGTGATATCCATTCGTATATGTATAGGAATCCTTCCACAGTTGAGGTGTGTTTGTTCAAATTTAAAAAGGTTGAATCTCAATAAATTTTAATAATTTAAATTTTTGGTAGCAGTAGAGCTCGTTATGAAAGAGTTCGTCAAGGAAAGATTTTTTCTACTATCAAGTGACGGGACGGTCAAGTCATGCGCCTGATGGTAAGCTACACGCCTGTCCATAACAGTTGCAGTGCCAATCAGAGCTTTAAATCTCAAAGATCTGAGGGGCACTGCCACTGCGTCCATCACCCTGAGACCTAAGTTGACAAGTCTCACAATAATGCTTATATTACTGCTCGGCGGCAGAAATAGGTAAGGTAGCAATAGCCAGGGATGTACTGCCACCTTACCTTTACCTGCCGCCAAGCAGTAATGTGTGCATTACGGTGTTCCGGTTTTGAAGGGTAAGGGTGCTGGTGAAATTACAGGCACATGGGACTAGTCAATTTACGTCTCAGGATGTATCTCTGAGTGGTACACCAACGGTTATGGACAGGCGTGTCACTTACCACAAGGCGCATGATTTGTTCGTCTCGTCACCTGGGATCACAAAAAAAAATACGGAAATAAATTCTTTGATATACTTGTATGCATAACTTAGAATATATTGTTCTGACTCTGAAAAACAAACATTTTATACAATTTCTGTTTTTTCTTTGACTTCATAATGTTCTCAGCAATATTACATTTTAATTTTAAAAAGGTCAATTTTTACGTTCCATCCAGTTTGTAACAAACCAGACTTGCCGACAAAAAGAGTTCTTCAATCACAACGTCTGTTTCCTAATAGAATTAACAGTTACCTCTGAATTTTAATTCGAACTTTATGTCTTAAAATTTGAATACTACTAATCCATTGGACGCCGAGTAATTAAAATATTACGACTGCTTTATCTCTTTATGGCCAATCAAGTGAACCTCTTTGAATATATTTCATTTCATTCACATGCTCTTGGCATTTAAAAACATCCGTGTACGCATATACTATTTAGGAATTCCGTTTAATCTCATGGAAAAGCTTTTTATTAGAAAATGTGAGAAGATTATGTCATCTTATTATATTATAATCATTGACAAAAAAATTGAGGTTCAAAAGATTCTTAATATTATTAACAAAAATTAAGAGCAATTCCGGGCGTTGAGTTTTCTCGGGTACACTATTACTAAGCGTCGAATTTGGCCGATATCTTATTAGACCATAATCTTTGATTTAAATTGTTCTTGTTTGGAAAGTTAAATAACATTTGTGCTAATATTGTACCTGTCCATTTTGTCGTGTATTATAAAACTAAAGCTAAATTTTGGATTTCTATAATAAAAACTTAAATGATATATATTTTCAGGTTATCCTTTTAAAAGGAAAGTAAGAGAAGTAGTTTTTTTAAATATTTTATTTACATATAGCAGCCCGCTGTCATGATCAGGATGTTACCTTATTATTAGGACATCATCATCAGCTTGCACAAGCTGATGATGATGTCCCTGCTGAACAAGCCTCCACTTGAGCACGCCAACTCTCCCGGTCATGGGCCGGCCATCTTGCTCAGGTAGTTCGTTCATCTTGTCGCGGGGCGTCCGATACTACATTTTCCTCGACGTGATCGCCAATCTAGAACAAATCTGCTACATCGGCCATCAGCACTCCTGCAGACGTGTCCAAGCCACTGCCATTTTTGCTTGTAGTCTAGCTTTGGCGATATTAAAAGAAGACTCGGTCCTCATAATTTTATTGCAACATTTTTATTGTAGAGGTAGAAACAAAGAAAACGTCCAAAAAGGCCTGTTTTAGTGTAAATATTGCTGCTTTATGAGCAATTAGGTTTACATAACTGAAGGACACGTCTTTTCTCTTCGAGAATTTTGATGGGAGTGACGACGGAACGAAGCAAAGTAAGAATGACGAAGAAAAAGAATTACAACGATTCAAAATTTCAAAAGTAAGTGGCCAGGAACCAGAGAAAAGGGTGATAAAAATGTGAATGACGATGAAAGAGATCGCATCGTTACAAGCTTACTGATTTTGCGATGTCGGCGGTCACTTTAGTTATCTGACGAAACTTCATTAGGAATTCGATCTATCAGAGAAACCCCAAGCACAGCTCGCTACATCGCACACTGAGCGACTTTAAATTTGTAGATTAGGCCTGATGTTAATGTTCACATCTCGTAGTAGGACATAACTGGTACGGTGCACTGGTGAAACGCCTTTGATTTTGAACTTTTTGGGATTGACGACCTGAAGACGTGGTTAAGCAGTATTAAACATGACGAAATTTAATAAATTTATTCTAAAAGTTGCTGCCTGTATATCATGTTGAACAGGTTTATATAAAATCTTACACTGAATAAATTTTGTATTGTTTTTAGATATGTGGACCTACATAATAAAACTTTATTCAATACATAACAAAGTCAGTGATCAAACTCTAATTGTGAGAATGAAATTGACCATAGCATTGTTAGGAGTCAAATGAAGCGTGATTATTTGGATGATTGATCGACTGCAATTGTCTTCTTTAAAGCCCAATTTGGATTATAAAATCATTCAAACGTTTCCCAGAAGTTGGTATTGTGATTACGGTTGATAAAGTTTGATTAACATTTTGATTCACTGTGAAATGGTCCAAAACGATCAACGTGTGTCCAAAACGTAATGTTATTAACATAATATTTTAATACATTTATGTGAATGAATATTAATAATAAATAATAATATAAAAACAATAATAATTATGGTTTCATGGTTTGATCTAACACCTCTCAAGTGGGACGTATAGATTGTGATACACCGACATACTGTACGATCCATTTTTTTTTATAATATCAAGTGAAGGGACGAACAAGTCGTGCGCCTGATCTTAGGCGCACTGCCGCTGCGCCCGTCAACCTGAGACATAAGTTAACAAGCCCCATGTGTCTGTAATCTCATCAGCGCCCTTACCCTTCAAGGCCGGAACACAGTAATGCTGGCATTACTGTTTGGCGGCAGAAATAGTAAGGTGGCAGTAGTACTTCCCTGCATGAACTCCAACGAACAAGGAGCTGTACTGTTATTGTATAGTGGATCTATATTTCGACGTTAGACCTCAGTAAGCAATTTATTTTATAAAGTACATTTAATAAATTATTATAAAACTCCTAAATATTCACGATTGTTACACATTCTAAATGAAACAATTTTATAAATCTTATAAATTTTACAAAACTACACTAAAAATTACGAATCTTATAAATCAATCGAATATTATAAAACATTATAACAGAACAGTACACATTTTTCCTGTTCGTGCAATTAATCGGGTATTATTATTTCCAGGTGACGTAAGCTGAGATGAAGGAAAGGATACTAGGTATGTTTTCCTTTCTATTTATACACCAAGCTGGCCACCTGCTTAGCCAGCCACAGAAACAGAAAACGCTGTCTTTGATCGTGTAGTTACACGTCTAGGTAGATTTACGGTCGATGAAATGGTGTTAAAAGCATTATTTTCATATTAATTTATAGCGTCGCTACTGCCACAACGCAAATAGTTTGGGGCTATTAAAGCTCATGTGTCGTTTGTCATCGATGAATAAGTGCCCAAAAGAGTTACTACAAATTGAAATATTTTGTTTTAGTGTTGTAATCGGCTTATAGTGGTAACATAGGTTTATATTAAACAATTTTTGAAATTAATCAAAATATGGGATGTATTATTTGTTATTATTATTGGGAGCTTGTTCTGTACCATTGCTGGGCAAAGGCCTCCCTTCTCTTGTTTCATTGATCCTGGTAACATCTGACCAGTTCTTTATAAGGGAGTCCAATCCCGCCATCGCCGACGTGGTTTCCCGCGTCTCTCCATCTCTCGTTTGAGTTATGGGGCTTCCACTTCGTGGTTATCTTGACCCACTACTCGCTCGGCATGCAATAGATGTGACCAGCTCAGTCCCACTTCAATTTGACCGCCTTCCGAGCTACATCGATGATGTAGGATTGTGAGCGCACCGTTGTGTTCCGGACACGATTCATTAGTTTTACACCTAATAGGGATATATTTGTTGAGATACTCAAACCTTTTTTGTTCTAATCCTAGTGGATTAGAATTTAAAAAAATGAAGAGAATGTTTTCGCTAAGCATGCATTAAAGAGCTTTTCAAGAAATGTACGTGTCCAAAATATCCGGAACAACTTTGAAACATCTCATCAAAGAATATCTGAAAGTGAAACTATTTCTGTTATGTTAAGCTGACGCTGTCACTTCATACGCGTCTACGTCTTAACAGACGATTTAAACAGCTTCAAACCAGTGTTAATCTTTCATTAATAACCCTGATCTCAGAAGTGGGCTAGCGGAGTTTCCCGGGCCATTGCTGATGATGTATGAAGACAAGGAATTAAGAGGCGTTAAGATTTTAAAAGCTTGCTTCCGTTCCATAGAACTGATATTGTAGTTTCTATTTGAATATCCGTGAACCTAGTTAATGTTTCTTTATTTTCTTTTTACTAGTAATATGATCCCTCCCATCAAAAACGATTTTAACATGATTAACCAGACATTTTGAATATATCGACCGTATAAGATGCTCTGCGTTGTTTTTTAAAAATAAGGACAATTTAAAACAGTGTTATAGAAATTGAGAAGAGTAGTCACCGACATTCCTAAGTTTACGAGTCTACATTGCGTCGCATTTTAAACGCATTTGACATTTACGATTATATAATTGTGTAAACAAATTAAGAGTGCGTAATAAATAGTCTTAAAACTGCTACGCTGGACTTGAGTTAAATTTGCACTGAAACGCCTATAAAAGTTATCGCCGGCATTTCTTGATATAACACTTCGTGTTTGCTACAGACGACTACAACCGACTACATAATAAACGTTTTATTAGATTCTTATTTAACCTGGCGAATGTCTATGACGAACCGAGTGGAGTACGTTGTTTGATGTGAAAAGATCATTATGCTTTTCCTCTTCGGGTAATAATTGTTTATACTCAAGTTCTTCACATACACATTCGCAATTTTCTACTTACACGCACTTGTTTTTAGGTGTAATATTTTTTCTTTTTGTTTTTATGTCTAATCCTGTTTCTATGTCCAGATTTGTGTCACAAGAAGCACATTGTTTGTCCTCATCTAATTCCGTTTTTGATCGTCATTGACGGCTGCTGACGACTTCCTAACAACTTCTGAAGTGGTCACATTTCTTGGTTAATCACTTTTAAAATGGTTTTATTTTTGGATTGCTGTGAGTTTTTTAGGATTTCGTGCTTTTGTTTTTTAACCCAAGTTTTTTAAATTTATGTAGTTGTTTTAGTGGACTATTTTTTGTGTTAATAATAATTCTTTTTATTTGTTGTAGAATTGGATTACAAAAAAATGCAGTCCACAGACTAGTTCTTGAGACAATATAATTTTTTTAAATCGCAAGTCTTTAATATTAGACTCGCTAGAAAATGTATTACCTAATTTGATAAATAAGATAATAATCAACTGAATGAACAGGTTCTTTAGCATAATTTATTTAGAGTGTCGGTCACGGATAGTGCGAATAAAAATCGCGGCGGATGGTGGTTTTTTTTATTTTTTTTTTATTGCGACTCAAGAAATACTTAATACTTAATACTCGGTCCATTCAAGTGCCGGCGTCAGGCGCCATCCTAACGATTATCTGGTATCTGGTGGCATCACTGTAAGCGAATTAAGAAATTTTAGAAACAACAATGGCAGCGAACTCTCTCATTATACCCATTTCTGATTTAAACAGGAACCAAAACTAACAATTCGCCATAATAGATTTTTATAACACTTGTTCGTAAACAGTGCCATAACGTGCGGGCAACGTCGGCTGTAATGTACTGAATTACGCCCACGTGTTTTTTCTTTAAAAAACATCCCTTACGTGAGATTTAAAATGATTTTTTAAAATTTAATTGAATTGTACTTCTTTCATTTGTTAAGATTAAGCAAACAGTACAGAGTACTAAAACACCGACCTCAAAAGTCATTCATCCCCTAGTTTGTCGCCCTTAGAGGTGGAATACCTCTAAGAGGTACCCTCTTTCCAACAAAAAAATCATTAAAATCGGTTCACAAATTATTGCGTAACATACAAAAAAAACATACAATCAAATCGAAAATCTCCTCGTCTTTTGAAGTGGGTTAAAAAGTTTTAATGCTCGAAAAATCTGAATTATTTCATATAAGCTTGAAGTATAGAAAAAAACTAATACATTTGCTAAATTAATTGTAATAAACATTTTATAAATTCAAATTCTGCAGCATTCTTAATATTTTGATATTATTTATTTTATATCTTTACCGTCATGGCCTTTTACAACATTTTAGTTTGGGTTATGTTGCCTATGGAAGAATATCTGGCCATCTGCTTATATAGAAAAAAAAATCCGCCGAAAAAAATTTGTAAAATCTGTAATTGTTGTGTTGAGAAGCGATATTTATTCATACAAGAAATAAATTGTCATTATAATATTTATTTCCTCGCAAATGTGATGAAAAATGACAAGCCTTTATTCACAGCCCTTAATATACAATGTACTATTGTGAGTTGGCTTAAAGTTATTATTTTATATATATGGGGATAATTCGAGGCTGCTATTCATCCTCTAGTGCCTTTTTATGACATCCTTACACAACATGGCTAACAACGTGGCAAAAACGCTATCACTAGGTCCATAACTTTAAGCAAACAATATAATAAAGCTAAAGTTAATTAATAGATGTTTGAGCTAGACCTGACCAACATCATTATAGATATCATCGGAAATTGGCGTCGTCTCAGGATGATGATGATTGTGTCCTCCGAGACATCAAATAATAATAAATTTTTGACGGTGCGTTTCTGTGAAGGACATTGATGTCAACTTGTAGGCTTTAAATGTTTGAATGCTTTGAGTTAAATGTTTTGTTATATTTTTAGCATGGCCGTAGGAAGGCGTGCCTTATTCCAGCGCGACCATGATCGAGTTGTGGAAATTTGACTAGTTCTAGTCGCAAAAAACTAGATTTAGTCGGTACACCGTTCAAAAGTTATAAGAGTCTTTTACTGTCCACACTGTAATAAGCTTATTCCAGCGGCACCATTTCTCAATCTCGAGAACCACAACACCTAGCTTAGATCTGATTACACTAAAAAATGTCGTGATATGGTTGGTTCTAGTCGTAAAATACTAGATTTAGTCGGTCCACCATTCAAAAGTTATAAGGGTGTTTTACTGACCATGCTGAAATAAGCTTATTCCGATGGCCCCATTTTTGGATCTGAAGAACCACAGCTCCTAGCTTAGATCTGATTTTACATCCAGAAAAATTCGGAAATTAGTCGGTTCTAGTCGCAAAATTTTAGAATTAAGTAGTCGCTCCTTTGTTTAGAAGATATCAGATATTAAATTATTTTCATTCATATGTACATTTACGTACAAAAATCGTCACACAAAATGAAAAATGTATATGTATGCTCTGTCCAACCATTTATTTGTATAGAAGTTGCTTACGCCTACATGAATTCGATTTTTGCCTCACTTGTGACAGTTCGTTTGATATGAAACTATCATTCTATGCGTTATTATTCTAAGCGTATAGGTATTTATGGTCATTCCTATTCTTTTTGGTATGTCAACAGAATTCCCAGCGACAATTTTTAACAGGAGGTAAACGTGTTCTTTGATTACAGTTTAGCATCGAATATGTAACCGGAGAAATGTCATTTAATTTGTTTGAAAACTATTCTGCCATATCATTACTGTGACAACTGCGCTCTGATTGGCCAGCCCGAATTCGAAACAATTGACGGGTGTTGTCAATAATAATTGTTTCACTTCAAATTCACCAGTCAGTTTACCTTGAGTTTTACGATAATGGACGAAAATTGTAAAATTACATATTTAATATTTAATTGTCGATGAAATGTGATTCCGTTTGTTTTGTAATTAGATGTTTTGCTATTTTTCCCACACCACCGAATGGAACAGCCCCCATTGTTAGAGATATTATCTTTATTACAAGAAATATAAAATATGAATCAATCAATCAATAAATTTATTTATTTGTCTGAATAAGGTACATATAGTTCTTATTTTAAATACAAATATCCAGCTTATTCTACCATAGTTGGCATACAAATATAAAATGTCACTTTAGTACTTATATTTAAAAATAAAAATAAAAAATTAATTTCCACTATTATGTCATTAAATTAAAATATTATAAGCAAAACTAAATAAAATTCAAAATACCATAAAAACAAATTCAATAATAATATCTCAGTAATTAGGCGTCAAAGAATTCAGTCAGGGAGTAAAAAGTGCTATTTATCAAGAATTTCAACAATTTCATTTTATATTC